GACAAGAAAAGTGGACAGCTGGAACACTCCCAGTTTCCTGTGTAGGTAATCCCAGACAAGAAAGACACATGCATCCTGTGAAAACCCTCATCCTGGCATTTTGGGTGGAGTGGGCAAAAGCAGGCTGCTAGCCTAACACTCCAGTATCAAGTTTATCTGGATGCTGCAATCCTGAATCACCTGCTATGTTGATCTGATAGGCGTGAATTGAATGAATCAGGCTCATGGAGAAATGTCACTGAAAAATACTTGCTTCAAAATTAGGTCATGTTTCAACTTAGTGGGGACATAAAAACACATGGGGTGTCCCTGCCCCAAGGAATTTTGGTTTACGCCTTTCTTAATGACTTTGCGAGTCAGTTAGTGGAAAGTTAATTGGGGGTGCCACCTTTCTAGACCTTGTGATTTTTCTCGCTCACTACATTTTAAGCATTCTTTGTGGTAAGCATTTTAGTATATTTATTTGGCAATGGCTTCTTGACTCTTCTGAAGGGTAAAGCAGATTTGCCTCATCTAGTTTTTTTAAAAAATTTGTCTAATCTAGTATCACCCTGCTGGCTAGACATTATGGGAGTTGTAGTCCAACATATCAAGGTGATGCCTAATCTGGGAAGGTGTTCTGTGCAGATATCCTTGCGATGAGTTTTTTTTTTGTATCTTTGCAATGAGTTTTTTGTTCAGTGCTTTGATCACTTAAGGCAGTGGTCACCAACCAGTGGGCCGGGGACCACTAGTGGTCTGCGAGAAAATTTTGATGGTCCGCAGAGAAATGTCACCGCCAAGCACCTCCCAAAGCAATTAATCCAGGCTGTCTGTGAACACAACAAGGCTCCACCGCCCACAAGACCCATGGGAACACAAGACTTGAGTCACTTGCATTGCGAATAACACAAGGTAGTGAGGGGAGGAGGGAAAGGGCGGAGGGGGGAACTTGCCCCATTTGCCCTACCCACCTTACCTTGCCACTGGACTGTTTCTTTCCACGTCTTTCTTCTTCTGCTTTTGGCTGCACACAAGGAAAGCAGCAGAAGTCTTTCTTTCTCTTCCCCAAACTCCACCAGAAATGAGTCTTTGGGACCATGCAAGGCCTCCTGCTCTAAGAGGCTGCACTGGTGTGACAAGTCTCACAAAGACTCATTTCTGGAGGAGTTTGGGGGAGAAAAAGAAAGACTTCCACTGCTTCTGCTGCTTTCCTTGCATGAAGCCAAAATTCTCTCTCTCTCTCTCTCCTCTTGTGAACGGAGCTAGAGACTATATCCTGTGATCCCAAATAAAGAATGATTGATCAGTAGGAAACGGGGTGGGGAATTTTCCTGCAGACTTTTTGGGGGATTTTCCCAGAGTCTCTGGTCTGCGGGATTTAAAGTTATGAGTTTGTTTGTTCCTGAGGTCCAAAAGGTTGTCGACCCTTCATGTAAGGGGTCACAGGTCCTCCTTTTTTTCTAGAATAGGCTCCATCACATCCTTTCTTATCTCCTAGCAAACCTCTTTTTCTAGGAAGATACATTGTACACAATGCATTTAAGGAATGAGGGCTTGGAAAAGACAGTTTTGTGAATTTATTTCTTGGTCGTGATATTCCAGTTTCACTTGATGTCCTTGTGATTCTGGAGCAACAATAGAGTACTAAATAAGATATGAACAAACAACTTAAATAGTAAGTATTGCAAAGTAGTTCAAAAAGCCTTAATCTATTATCATAATCTTGCCAGTCTTTTTTGCTAGAATTGTAAGCACTGTTGCAGAAGCTAGAAATCTCAGAGCATCTACCAAAATGTTTATTGCTTGTTTGCTTAATTTGTGGGATTTATAATCTGACCCAATCCCAAAAGATTCTGCAACAAGCCTCCCCCAACCCCCTGAATTAAGCCACTAAATCTGAACAAAATCCAAACCAAAAATAACCCTAGAGGGCAAAGATAAAACCCCCAATAAAAATAAAAAGAGGTGCCTGTAGTCAGCCCAAACCATTCCAAAATGCTTTGAAAGAAAATAGTTTTAACTTCCCTGTGGAACTGCAGCACATACAGGCATCCATTCTTTCAGTGGCTGTTTGTGGTTACAACCAGCATTGAATGAGGAGGACTTGCAATGAGTCCTTGTAGTTGTGACTATTACAGTATCTTGGGAATTGCCTAATCGTGATTTGGGTGTTTGACAAGTAGCTTGCATTTGCAACATTGTAGTGTCCTGCCATCATGTGAACACTATTTGCAACCTTTCCTTCCAGCTTCCAACAAGCAGGCCAATGGGGAAACTTATTACAAACAGCAATTGTGGGATTGTGGAACGGCCAGAACTGCGTTTGTAAGTTAGTGCAGGCTCATAACATTGTTCTTTATCACCACATCACTTAGAATCAAGTTCCTGGTCCAATTTACATTGTTAAGTGATGATTGCTTATAGTTTCTCGGTGGGAGAGTCGAGGTAGTCCTCATTTAGTGATTGCCTAATCGAGTGACCATTTGCAGGTACGATAATTATGAAAAAGTATTCTTTTTTTTTTGAAAACAATTTTATTAGTTTTTAAAGACAAACAAAACAAACAAAATATAAAAACATCCAGCTTTCTTTCATAGATATACAAAAAAAGTATTGAAAAAGTATTCTTGTCAGTTGCCTGGAGTCATTGAGCATGAGTTGGGAGTGACCATATACATTTTCTTAAATAAATAGATTTTGTGATGAATCCTCATATTGTTTATTGATCGACTGAATGATTTAATTTGATTTGTGTGCCACACATCTCATTTAGAGGCGACACATAAAATTTTCCCAGCAGAAGAAAGCTGAAGTAAGACTATAAGCACAATTGCTATTTCACTTAACAATTGTTTCACTTAACAACCAAGTTTCCTTGTTCCCCCTTTTTCACCCCATTCCTAAGAAGTTATCTGCCATCAGAGAGAGTTTGGGTAATATACTCATTTTTATGGTTGCTATTTGTCCCAACTGTGAAAGTTGTATTTTGGCCCAATTATCCAGATCGTTTTGTATTTGCAATATTATTTTATCATAATTATCTTCCTTTGAAAAATGTGATGTCGTGATAAAGAACAATGTTATGAGACTGCACTAACTTACAAACACAGTTCTGGTGGTTCCACAATCCCACAATTGCTGTTTGTAATAAGTTTCCCCATTGGCCTGCTTGTTGGAAGCTGGAAGGAAAAGTTGCAAATAGTGTTCACATGATGGCAGGACACTACAATGTTGCAAATGCAAGCTAGTTGTCAAACACCCAAATCACGATTAGGCAATTCCCAAGATACAGTAATAGTATCTTGGGAAGATATCTAGTATCTTGGGAAGATACTAGAAGGAAAAGCGGCACAAAATTTCTTAGGTTACCCAGTTCTGTTCCCATCGCTTTCTGTTCTGATACAAGTGTGACCTACAGTTTAGCTCAGATCCCTTGTGCTAAATTCTAAAACACAGCCTCACCTGCGGGTAAATATAACACTGCTGGAAAAAAACCCTTTCACAGAGGCAGCCAGCCACCTCAGTGATCCCTGGCTAACATGTGCCATACACTAAATAAATTTGAAGCTGTTAGAATGATGTCAACTATGTAAAGCTCTCGCCAACAGAGTCTGCAGGTATTCATTATTATCTTGAAATCACAAGAAGGTTCATGTAGAGATATTTAAAGGCCACATGGAAGCATAAACAATCCTATGTTTATCTTCTCTGGTCTGTATGGGTAGAGTTGGAATTCACTGTAAAGCTGTTCAGAAGGTGATTTGACATGATGGACAGAATGTAAGTTGCCTTCGGTGATCCTCTACCCATCTAGCCACGGATCACTAATTAGTGCATATTTTTCATCAGAGAAATCCAGTGTAACATACATATAAAACAGTAGATTCACACACTGTATGTACTTGTTAAACTAGGATAATAATATGATTTTTTTGGAGTTTCAGAATTTTAGGCATTTTGTAAAGAACAAGACTTCCAAGCACTGGTTTTGAGATACCAGTTTGGGGTTTGATCAGTACTCGGGTCCAGATTTCATATAAAAACCTAGTAGTTCTTAATAGGCATTGAACTTGTAAAATATTTGCTCTGACCCTTATCTCCAATTTATAACAAATGTAATTTCCTGTTTCCTTTTGTCAGGGTTTTTTTTTTTTTTTTGTACAATTGCCCTGCTATTTTATCACAGTTCCAATTGATCTTTTTCTTCTATTTGCAAGCATCGTACCATTTCGTATCATTTACCATTGTACTTCTTTCTTAGGAAATTCATTAACGAGGATAACAAATCCCGAGAACTGCTGCTGAAAGTCCTTTGATTTGGTTGAAACTCTGACCAAAGATTATATGTTGGAATTATGACACGGAGGGACTTTTTCTGATTATTGGGGAAATAATTACTGTTCTTGGTGAAAGAAAAAACCTTTCAAAGCTTATATCACTAGATTTAAATGCCAACACAGGAGTATTTTTTTTAAAAAAGTAGCCTTTTAAGGCTGAGGTTGGATTTTAAGTAGCTGTAGAGATAACACTTAAAAAAAATACAGGCAACACTACAAAAAATATGTTTCATTTTGGAGACTAGCAGCTACCTTGATTCTACCTGGGAACAGTCTTACCAGATGTCCAATAAAAGGAGGGACATATCCTTCTTTTCCTCAAATGTGCTTTGTCCAGCACGTATAGCCTTAAAAGCAGGGGTCTCCAACCTTGGGAACTTTAAGACTTGTGGACTTCAACTCCCAGAATTCCTCAGCCAGCTTTGCTGGCTGGAGAATTCTGGAAGTTGAAATCCACAAGTCTTAAAGTTGCCACGGTTGAAGACCCCTGCTTAAATTCAAATATTGTCCTGATTTTTTTTAGTGTCTTGGGCTTTTGCGATTTCTTTGAAGAAAATTGGACTTCTTTCATAATGGTAATTTTGATAATTGTAATTTTCTTTATAATGGCAATTTTTTTATTGTGATCAATTCAGTATTATTGCTAGCATATGTTCAGTATTATTGCTAGCATATATTGCTAGCATATGATTTATTGGAAAAATATTGCCATTGAAAAACCCATCTTTCTGATATTGGATAAAGTAATTCAGTAACCTGAAGGCCTAAGTCTTTTTTTTTTTTTTTTTGCAGTGTTTCACTGTAGTGTTGGTTGTGGATGCCATGAAATTTAATTTTAAAATTAGTATGTCTTCCTTTTCCCCCATTTAGCCTTTACAGTTGTCCTTCTTTGTCCTTTTCGGATATCTGGCAATCCTTTCTGTGATAAGCCAGACTTCATTAGGGCAGTGGGTTCATACATTTAATTTTATCCAGGGTTTGAGTTTGCAGTAGAAATTCCAGTATGACAGTTGCAGCAAGTTTGAAAGATATATATATTTTAAAATGGCACCAAGTCCATCAGTATACACAGATAGAGAATATCAATGTGAAAAACCAGTGGAGGACATTTAAATATTTGCTGGCTATGGGGAAGATTTCAGACAGCTCTCAGAAGAAACTAAAAAAACAAATTTATTCTTGTATTTTTGTCTCCTTGTATATAAAACCATTAATGTTGTGGGCAGCACAAGACTGAGCCTGAAATTTACAAAAAATTAAGCTGGGATGTTTTCTGCTTTTTCTGGCTTAGGGAAAGAGAAAGTGATACTCCTGAACTTCTTGTTTGGTTTCAACTTGACAAAATCTGGGGGAGGACACCAAGGGAGTTTGTGACCAATATCCCCTTCCCTAGTTTCTCTATGGCCACAGAGAGTCTGTTCAGCTACCTCCCTTCTGTTTTTCTGCCCTTGAAATTTTCTGTCTACTTCTTGAAGGTATGAGTTGATCCTCTTCACATTTGGGACAAATGTGGTTGGCAGCAGATACTTAATCACCACAGAAGAGACAGAATTCTTAAGACAGAATTGGCAATTGTGCTTTCCCCTGATCCTGTTTGAAAGCCTTGGCCCAAAGGCTCCCCGCCAGCGGAAAGATAAAAACCTTGGACCCAAAACTGCAGCTATGCACGCTACATTGCCTGGCAGCTTCAGATGTCACTTGGGAGGAGTTGACCCATATTTTCTGTCTCCTTGTGTCACCGTTCACTTTTTCATCCTTCCATCCGCAGATACAGATAGGTGAGATTCTGTCAAGTGGCCCAGGTGAGTCAAAGGGAAACCTCCCCTTTCAGAGCGAGGAAAAGTAGGTCTAGGTAGGTTTAGGTATAGGTAGAACAACAAAAAGGAGAGTGATTTCAGAGAAAAATCTTTTATCCTTGATCAAGTCTAAAGACCCCAAATACTGGTAGGTAGATGAATTTGTGGTGGCTGACCCTTTCTTTCAGAAGTCTTCCTTTCCTCTTGAATTTTCTTTTTCTTTCTCAGATTTCAGTGCTAAATAACGTTACCACAATAGTATGGTTCTCCAGAAGAGAAGTTTTTTTCTTAGAATTGTCATCTTCATAAAACATCAAATTCAATAGCAGAAGGTTGGAGAAATCTTGCCTAATATGTGTTTTTTAATATAAAATCTGAAAATAAATATGTTTTTACTAGCCAGTTGTTTTAATTTTTTTTTCCTAAAATAATAATAATATAAGGAGCATTGTCTACAGAGAACGTGTCGGGATTTCCAATGATCTAATTATCTAAAATAATGTAATCCTTGTTTTTCCAGGTTTTTAAGGGAGCCCTCTTATGAATAGAAAGGTTTTTTTCTTCTGATTGAGCACTGGGAAGTGACTTTAGTTGACATGTCAGTTTTGGATTCCTGTAAGTTCCCTTCCTTTCCCCAGCTTAATACTGGAACTATGTCAAAAATCTGCATAGAAAAAAAAAGTAAACTAGAAACAATGTAGAGGGAAAGTTAACTCTATGATATCATTGTACAATAATGTAGAAATTTTTTGGAACTTTCCTATGGTAATGGAGCATATCATCCTAATGCTCCTATTCTAAAGTCTCTGCTGTTTTATGCAGTTATCTCCAGTTTTCCACATGAAGAGAGTTCCTGCACTAAATTACTGGAGGAAAGCAGGGAAGCTAGAATTTTTCTTTTCTTCCTAGATTTTTTCTCACCGTTGCTGGGTTTATTTTTTTTTCAGATTAGTAAAGTGTTGATCTAGTTGTGACAGAAGTTGATTTGGCCAGGTCTGCTGTACAGGCTGAGAAAATCACCCATCCAGTTTTTATGCCTAAGGTGGACTCAAACTCACAGTCTCCTGGTCTCTAGGTGGTGCCTTAATGTTTTTCCTGAAATTGCAGGGTCCACTTTTTGGGGGGGATAGGCCGAGAGCAAGGGTCTTCAACTTGGCAAGTTTAAGACTTGTGGATTTCAACTCCCAGAATTCCTGAGCTAACATGACTGGAGGAGGAATTCTGGGAGTTGAAGTCCACAAGTCTTAAAGCTGTCAAGTTTGAAGACCCCTGGCCGAGAGGGTCAATCCATTGGTTGCAACAGGCACATTTCAGCCCATGAATAAAAGAAGTCCTGGGATTTCTTTGGGACTACTTGGATCATGAGCAGATATTGATCCCAATCAGCCTTGGCAGCTCTCAGTGGATGAAATTCAAGCATGAGAAATAAATGTGGTAGGGAGAAGACCAAAGCAAAATATTCCCAGGTTGTTGGTGCTGCTTATTTTGCAGAAGCCGCAGGATAGTTTAAGCCAGAGAATTGCAGAATTAGGTTTTCTGCCACTTCAGATGTCTCACTTTCCTCCCCTTCCTTCCTCCTCACACCCTGGCCTTGTTTAGTAGTTCATCGTTTGATCACTCAGATTGGTGACCTTCTGCATGCAAAGAACTGTTGAAAATATGGGTTCAAGTAGTACCACTGGAGTATCACTTAAAGACTACAATCTGTCTACTTGGGGGACAGGAGCTGACAGTGACTTGAGGTCCCATAATCAATTCAAATAGTTGCTATTCCCCATCATATTGGAGAGCATCACTGGCCTTCTGTTCCAAGGATAAGAATCATAGTTCTACAACGTTTGCTGAAAATGCAATTCCCAACAGTTCTAGTCAGAACTGCCTAAGGTGATAGATGCTAGGAAATATAGTTCAGTATTAACAGAACCGCCACTATTCCCCACCTTTGCTTTAGATTTCAATGAGTACGTTCTGCTTCAGCAGGGTTGATAATATTAGCATTTAAATGTGTTTTTTATTATCTGCTGGAAAAGGAAACAAGACATGTTAAACTCCTTTCAAAACCAGTGGTTGCCTAATGTACAGTTGACTTGGAGATTCCCTTGAATTCAGAAGTACTTAAGCATATGCAACTCTGGATCAGGTCCACTGCCAACACATTGCTCTAAGTCAGATTT